TGAAAGCCAGTGGTTCCCAAATTATTTTGACCGCATACCCGATCAATAACAAATTTTTGTGCATGCATCCACCCCCAATATATATATATACATTTGCTTATGAATAAATTAAATTATGCCAAGAGCTACTATTCTAATAAGTTACACTCATTAGAAAACAAACACAAAAAGATAAATGCATAAAAGATAAAAATGAAATAAGTAATATTATTCTTGTCCTCTTGGTGCTACCAAATCATCAGGAGTATTTACAAAGTCCAAGATACTGTACTTGCGCTTACTTCTTTGATCCTAAGCTCAACTGTTAGGAAATCTGAAAGACCTTTATGATAGTGAGTTTACGCATATCCAAATACACCATACTTTGTACATATAAAAGGTATAAATGCATAAATAAGCTTGTTTATAATTTCATACTTATCTATTTTATCTCTCAAAATAGCTCATAAACTCTTTTTTTAAAAAGATTTTATTTATTTATTTGAGAGAGAGAGAATGAGAGATAGAGAGCACGAGAGGGAAGAGGGTCAGAGGGAGAAGCAGACTCCCTGCTGAGCAGGGAGCCCGATGTGGGACTCGATCCCGGGACTCCAGGATCATGACCTGAGCTGAAGGCAGTCGCTCAACCAACTGAGCCACCCAGGCACCCAATAGCTCATAAACTCTTTAGAGCAGGGGCTGATCCTCTCTTTCCACTTAAAAATCATCAAAGTACTTAGTACAGTGATAAAATAGCTGCTCTGTAAAGTAAAAAAAATGATTATATTCCATTCACTATCATCCAAAATATTACGCCTTTTTTTAAAACCTAATTCTTGGGGATGCAAAATCTTAAGAGTATTTTATTTTAATTTTTTTTAGATTTTATTTATTTATTTGAGACAGAGAGAATGAGAGAGAGAGAGCACACGAGGGGGGGAGGGTCAGAGGGAGCAGCAGACTCCCTGCCGAGCAGGGAGCCCGATGCGGGACTCGATCCAGGGACTCCAGGATCATGACCTGAGCCAAAGGCAGTTGCTTAACCAACTGAGCCACCCAGGCGCCCTTTTATTTTAATTTTTAATAATAAATTTAATCCTCATGGAGGTTGAAGCCTTTACAATTTCTAGACTAAGAAGCACAGCATGATCAAAACCCAAGAAGATTTTCTCCAATTTTATCATTAAACTTCAAACCTGGGGCACCTGGGTGGCTCAGTCGGTTAAGCAACTGACTCTTGATTTCAGCTCAGGTCATGATCTCAGGGTCGTGATATCAAGCCCTGTGTTGGGCTCCACACTCAGTGTGGAGTCGGCTTGAGATTCTCTGCCTCTCCCTCTGCCCCTCCCCCTTGCTCATGCTCTCTCATGCATGCGCGTGCTCTCTCTCCAAAAAAAATAAAAATCTTTAAACCTCAAACCTGACCTTAAGTAAACAGTTCAAAAATAAAGAGGATATACATCATGACCAAGTGAGATTTATGCTAGGGATGCAAGGCTGGTGCCCATATGGAAATCAATCAATGTAATACACCAGATTAATAGAATAAAGGGGGGAAACACATAATCATTTCAGTAGATGCAGAAAAAGCATTTGACAAAAGTCAGCAGCCTTTCCTCATAAAAACACTCAACAAACTAGGCATAGAACTCCAACAACCTTATGATAAAAAACATCTATAAAAACCTACACCTAACATCATGCCTAATGGTGAAAGACTGAAAGGTTTCTTAAGATCAGGAACAAGACACGAATGTCTGCTCTCACCACTTCTATTCAACATTGTACAGGAAGTTTTAGGCAGGGAAATTAAGCAAAAAGAGAAATAAAAGACATCCATATTGGAAAGGAAAAGTAAAACTTATCTCTATTTGCAGATGACATGATCTTGCATGTAGGAAGTCCTAAGGAATCTTAAAAAAAAGATACTATTACAGCTAATAAACGAATTCAGCAAGTAGCAGAACACAAGACCAATATACAAAAATAACTTGGTCAGTTGTATTTCTATACATTAGCAATCAATAATCTGAAAATGGAATTAAGAAAACAATTCCACTTACAAGAGCATCAAAGAGAATAAAATACTTACAAATAAATTTACCAAAAGAAATGTTAAGACTTGTGCACTGAAAACTACAAAACATGTACGAAAAAAATGAAAGAAGACCCTAAATAAAAGGGAAGACATCTTGTGTTCTTGGATTGGAGGAACGGATGTTGTTAAGATGGCAATATTCTCAAAATTGATCTACAGATTCAATGCAATCTCAATCAAAATTCTAGTTGTGTTTGTTACAGAAATTGACAAGCTAATGCTAAACTTGATATGGAAATGCATGAGACCCAGAAAGGCCACAACAATACTGAAAAAGGACAAAGCTGGAGGACTCAACTTTATTTCGAAATTTACTACAAAGCTACAGTAATCAAAATTGTGTGGAACATAAGGATAGACACAGAGATCGGTAGCACAGAAATGAGAGTACAGAAATAAACCCTTACATCTATGGTCAACTGACTTTCATAAGGCTGCCAATATAATTCAGTGAGGGAAAGAATAGTCTTTTCAGCAAGTAGTAGTGGGACAACTGGATATCCACATGCAAAAGAATGAGGTTGGACCTCTACCTCACACCATACACAAAAATTAACTCAAAATCTATAAGGAAGAGCTTAGATCTATATGGAAGAGCTAAAACTATAAAACTCTTAAGGAAAAAAAACATAGGTATGAATCTTCATGAGCTTAGATTAGGCAGTGATTTCTTACATATGACACTTAAAGCATAAGCACCAAAGGGAAAATTGATAAATTGGACTTCATGAAAATTTAATAAGAAAGTAAAAAGACACCCTATAGAATGGGAGAAGATATTTACAAATCACCATCTGGTAGGGGTCTTGTATCCAGAATATACAAACTCTTAAAACTCAACAATTAAAAAAAAACAGTTAAAAATGGACAAAGGATTTCTACAGACATTTCTCCAAAGATCTATAAATGGGCAACAAGGGCATATAAAGATGCTCAACATCATTAGTCTTTAGGGAAATGTGAATTGAAACCACAATGAGATACTACTTTTCACATTCAGTAGAATGGCTACAATCAGAAAGCTGGACAATAACAAGTGTTGGCAAGGATGTGGAAAAACAGGAACCCTCTTACATCCTTGATAAGAATGTAAAATGGTGCAGCTGCTAAAGAAAACAAGTTACTGGTCCCTCAAAAAACCAAACATAGAATTGCCATTTGATCCAGCAATTTCACTCTTAAATATACACCCAAAGGGATCAAAGGAATTGAAAGCAGAGACTCAAACTGACACTTGAATGTTTTCATTCATTGCAGCAATATTCACACTAGCCAAAAGGTGAAAACCACCCAAGAATCTACCAACCAATGAAGAGACAAACAAAATGTGGTATGTTATACAATGGAATGTTGTACAACTATAAAAGGAATGAAGTTTTGATACATCCCACAACACAGATGAACTGGAGGACATTATGGTATGTGAAATAAGCCAGACAGAACAGGGCAAATCCTATATGATTCCACTTATGTGAGGTACTCAGAATAGGCAAAGTATAGAGACAGAAAGTAGGTAAGAGGTCAGCAGGAGGGTCATTGCTTAATGGTTATGGAGCTTCTGTCTGGGCTGATGAAAAGGTTTGGAAACAGTGGTGATAGTTGGGCAACACTGTGCATGGAATCAATGCCACTGAACTGCACACTTAAAATAACAAATTTTGTTATTTACATTTTATCACAATTTTTAAAAATTAATAATATACCTAAAGCCACAGGATCGTATACTCTAAATGGGTGAACTGTATGGTAGGTTGAATTGTATCACAATAAATTTGATTTTTAAAACATGAAGAAAAAAAAGAAAGGCACTCCGGGGCCATAAAAGGACATGGGAGAACCTTAAATGCATACTGTCAAGGAAAGAAACAAGTCTGAAAAAGCTACATATTGTATGATTCCAACTATAGGACATTCTGGAAAAGGCAAAACAATAAGGGCAATAAAAAGATCCGCGGTTGCCAAGGGTTCTAGGCAGGGGAGAAAGAACCAACAGGTGGAGCACAGAGCATTCTCAAGGCAGTGAAACCATTCTGTATGATACTGGAAGGGTACCTACATGACAAGTATTTTTCAAAACCCACAGAACTGGAGAACACAAAGAGTGAGCCTTAAGGTAAACAAAGGACTTTAATGTATTAACACTGGTTTGTCAACTGTAACAAATGCACCACACTAGTGCAAGATGTTAATAGGAGAAACAACGCGTGGATAGGGAAGGGTTATGCGGGAGCTCTGCTCCTTCTGTGTAATTTTTCTGTAAACCTAAAACTGCTCTTTAAAAAGTCTATTCTAAAAATGTATACTTAACACAAAGACTGCACTGAATTTTATCCTCTTCTCATGATTCATAAGACTATTCACTTTAAGCACAGATTATAATTTTACATTAGACAAGGAGGAAGTGCTGATTCTTTTAGCATTGTAAATCTCAGACACTACCAAATCATCTCAGTTCAGTATTCCACACACCCTTCCCCTACTTCACCTCCTCCTCCACCCCCGACAAGATTATTTTATGACCTAAATTCTTGTATTCATATAAGTATTCCATCTAGATAGTCTTTGAAGATTCTATAGTCTTTGGAAACACTTCCTTACACTTATGACTGAATTCCAGTCTAATTATAATTACAAATTACAGTGACATTATTATACCAAGCCGCCATGCCTCCTGTTTTATTCCCTTTGTTCATTTTCTATGAGGTATCATTTTATCAGGAACCTCGGTATGTTAGTTTTACACATCTTTTGGGGGGAAAAAATTGTTCTCGAAGGCCCTCAAGAGTCAACACAAAAGGAAACTATAACTGTCCCAGAAGAAAGACGGCCAACACATTTAAGAACTTTTCCCCAGCTCCTGGTTTAAAATGATCCCCTCCCAAACCTCTAATCTTTATTGGCACACTGTATGCATTTCTTTTACCTTGGTCTTTTCCAGCTTCATCTATGTGTTGAAAATCTTTTAGTGTTTGAAGGTTACAGAACCCCTCTCTGCAATGCTGAATAACTTTCCTTGATCCATTCTTGATGAGATAATCCATTAGCGTAAGGGATTTATACACATGGCGCCAGTTCTTCCCGTGATCATTGAGTCTCTGCCATAGCATATTCATAATCTCTGACAGAGAAATTGTGTTGAAGGTCAGGTCACTGATATCTAACATCAGAGAACTAGAAGGACCCCAAGGGTCATTAGAAGTTGCTTCTCTGACTTTTATTTCAGCATCTGAGTAATTTTTCATGAAGTTTTTCACTTGCCTCCTGAATGCCATAGGTAAGACAAGTTTGAAGGTGAAATGGGGATGAGAGCAATGGAATAGGAGTTAATATAATTGGTTTATAAAACTCTTGAGAGGTAACTGATCCCCAGTTCTGCCGCTCCCAAACACAAATGATTAATCTCCATTTTGACAAGGCATCAATTTCCTGCAAAGCAAAGCACAAAATATATGTAAGTTAAATACTTTTCGAAATGTCTACAGAAGACTATGTCAGTCTGAAAAATCTAGGTTTACTTAGAAATCAGCCCCTCACCTACATCAGCCAGAATTGAGGGCACTATCTAAATTCTCCTAGCATCAGTATGGGAAAATCTCTCATAAGGGATTGGCCTATATTAAAGAATTATAGGTGGTCTTCCTAGTCCTAAAAGTTTCTGCAGAAAATATCATTCAACTTCTTTGGCCAGGAATAAAATAATTCTAAAGCATTACAGGACAGTGGGCAAGTTAGGAGAAGAAAATGGGACATGCTCTCTGACATCTCATGCTTAAGATGTGTTGTCATGTATAAAAATAGTATGTCCTGAAGGTAATTAGGATGGTAACATCTGAGTCTTGGAGTCATCAAGTGACCCTAAGGTTGTATTCTTAGAACTACAAGTCACTAGAATTGGATCTAAATACGTTCTGCTTTCTTGTTAATCTGAAAGTAGGAAGGTTGCCAACTATAACACAAGTAGTTGCACCACAACGGGCTCCACATCTAACTCATGGTACCCTTGACCAGTATTTTAGTCCTGATAAGGTTAGTAAGTTCAAAGAAAAGGTTAAATTACTTTCTTTACTGGGTCTTAGAAAAGTATGTGTTTAAGGAGTAAACAATGTCAATAGTAGGGTTCAAACTGGGTAACAATTTCCCTAAAACCTGGAGGGATCAGCATGTTATCTGTCACATTCCAAAACAAGTGTACACAAAGAGAGGCCCATTTAGGTTGATACAAAATACATTAAAACCTAAAGGAGGTCTGCAGCCCCCAAACCTTAAATGATGCTTATGAAACCATTCCCTTCCTTCTTTTTCATTGCTTTGAATTAAGGTGGGTCAGTTAGTTTGTAATTTCCCTGGTGATTCACCCCGATGGCCACCAAGAGAGTGCACTAAATTGATTTCAAGCCTTGACAAGCATCCAGGCCCAATGAAGCCTTGGCGATCTATAATCAGATTTTACTAGAGAAACTGCATGCACAAAAAAGACAGACATTAAAATCCATAACAAATTTGTCATTTTCAGTTTTGTTTCTCTTCTTTGACCTTCGCAATTCCTAGCTCAGGTTTGATTAATTTCTGTGTGTGTATTTAAGGAAGACAAATTTTCAGAAGCAAACTAAATGAGCTATCCTTTCTTTTTCAAAAAATAAGAGAAGGGGTAATTAACCTTTTTTTTGTAAAATACAACACATCCTCAAATGAGCAAGATGGAAAATGTATCAGTTTAATTAACATTTCTCAAAAAGAGACTATCATCAACACTAGGAAGAAAAAGAGAAGTTGCGTGTTTTTACAATTTTCTGATTTTCTCTCGTTTGCACTTCAAACACAGGCATTTTTATCTGACTCATTCCTGCAGCGAAAACCAGATTTATCATGTGTTTCAATAAGCCATTAAAATTTTCAATCATGAGGGTTTTTTCTATTGTCCTTTTTTCCCTTCTACCAAGCTCACGCAATGCAGAGATGCACTGTGACATTGGCTTAGAGCAACAAATATTGATCTGTTTCCTCACAAGTCTATTAGGAAAAAAAACAAACAAACCTGTTAGAATCATAACCTGCTGGACTTAAACAACAGTCACCAAAACGCTATTTTTTTTTATTTTTTGGTGAGCTAACTATCTATATTTGGAGAGACAAAATCCAAATTTTTAGGTTTTCCTATATTCTCTATCTTGTATTTAAAAAATGTTATCTTAAATGAATTTTCTACCCCAGGAAAGTATCAAATAATGGGCTTCGATCCACTAGGGTAGTTTAAAATGGATGTGCTTAACATCATACTGAAATTAAATACATTCCCAACCATTAGAAAAACCACGAAGCAAAAAGTCTGGATGAGTGAATTAATACCATTTACGAATGCACAGTACTTTGTGACATGTCCACAGAATATGTAAGACACCATTCTACTATTGTTATCTTTTCAGATTAACAAGGAGTTCGACTGCTGTTAGTTGTAAATTATACGTTGGTTTTCTGTGTTTTAAACATCTGACTACATACAAATGTTGTTTACTCATATCATCAGAAACTTGAGATTATAATTCCAGTATGTGACATCTGAAACAAAAGTGGTGCCCAAGTGAGTAAATTTTCACACCTGAATCTTGGTTGTCTGGCTACCCAAATCCCTAGAATACTTAGAAACGGAGGTGAACGAACCATGAGAGACGATGGACTCTGAAAAACAAACTGAGGGTTCTAGGGGGAATAGGGTGGGGGGATGGGTTAGCCTGGTGATGGGTATTAAAGAGGGCACATTCTGCGTGGAGCACTGGGTGTTATGCACAAACAATGAATCATGGGACACTACATCAAGAACTAATGATGTAATGTATGGTGATTAACATAACAATAAAAATTTTTAAAAAAAGAAACGGAGGCGAGTTAAGATATTCCATGTCACCAATCTGGGTCACCTCCTCTGAGAGGCCTTCAGCTAGCACACTAGCTACTTAGATCTTCCCAACATATTCTTTCCGTCCCGATTTATTTCCTTCATGGCACTCACCATGATCTGTACCTGTGTATTTGTCATTTGCTTTCTTCACCACCAGACCAGAAACTCCATGACAGCATGGTCCATGACCATCTTATTTACAAGGCAATATAATCTTATTGCCTAGTAAGTACCTAGAACATAGTAGGTACTCAAGAAACAGGTGTTGAGTGAATGCCCAAATGACTGAATGAATCTGCTTGGGATACACCTGCATTGATTCTACAGCTTTGGATTATAAACATGACATTTTAAAAACATATTCCAGCCTTGCAATTGTCAAGTAAAATTCTGGAGTTGGGAGTAATTATTTTCAAATCAATCAATCAGTATTTCTTGAGTATCTACCATTTGTGCCGCTTTGTGGATGACATAAGAAATATAAAACATGATTCCAACATTCAAAAACCAGTGTTTGGGGGCTGGTGGTGGTGCCCGGCGGGCCTCCTCTGTCAGGAGCCAAAAGCCAGTGTTTGATTAAGGAGCTTTCTCCCTCAATAATTCCAAAATAAACACATAATGAGATAGAAAAGATCTCTTGGTTTCCTTTTTAGGCTTACTCACTTCCACAATACTTTGGCAAAGGCTGTTTCCTCTCCCAACTTTACTTTAATCATAACAGGAAATCATTTAAGTTATCAAGTGACATTGTGGAATTCAAACTCAAGGTTTTTTTCAGACTTCTGAAGGGTAACACAGTGCCTATACCATATGTTACTTGATACCCACAGTAAGGTGTGGGGCCACTCTGAACAAGCAAACACCTTAACGTGACTGCAAAAAAAAATTGTAAATATTTGGAATATACAAAAACGAATGCCTCATTTCAATTCAGGTTTTGCTGCCAAATGAGCTGGGGGGGAAACTGGTCTTCAAAATTCTTTGGCTATCAGAATTGAGAATAAGGAATTGAGGAGCTGAACTGACTTTACCCAAAGACCTAGGACAATAACAGCAACATCTAAGAGGCAGAGTGTGAGAGGCATCTGGAAAGATGCATTCAGAGTAGAGGAAAGCTTTCCTCTTTGTACAGTTTCTGCCTATAGACTTAAGTTTACTCAGGAGAAAATAAGCTCTCTGGCCAAGATTGTTGTGGGAGAATGATTATAAAGAATACCATGGCATTAGGAGGTGTTATTATTTGGATGGGAAGATTACTACAAGAGGCAGAGAAATCAACTTTTTGGAGCCCTCCTGTGTGTTCATTAATTCATTCAACTATTAGCTCTCTAGAGTTCACTACATGGCGTACTCCATTCTACCAAATGGAGAAACGGGTGCACAAGACACAGTCCCCATTCTCTGGAATAAAGGGCTACTCTTTTTTTGAATGCTCACAATGTGCTCACACCTAGGCATTCACCTACCTCATCTCATTACTTTAATTAGGATTCCAAAGGCATGGACTTGAGGTCCTGCTCTGCCATTTCTTAATTAAGGCTCAACAACTTCGCTGAGCCTCAGTTCCCTCATCTGCAGCATAAGGACTAATCACCACATAGAAAGAACAGCTGAGAGGAAGAAATGAGATGCCTGAGAAAGAATTTGGAACATGAAGGGTGAGGGCTGAAAGAATCAACTTCCTGTAGACAGGGTCTTTCCTTGGCATCCATTTCTTCAGAACAACCACTGTGTACAAGGCAGGCCCCATGCCAGGCCCAGAGCCACACAGATAAGCCCGACCACCGACTCCCCTCGGAAAGCACGCAGTTTACTTGGAGCAGAAGGCTGGGCCACACAGAAGCTTCTAGAAGGAGGGAGTGTGACACGATGGCGTCACACAATGGGGACCTTCCCTCACGCAGACCGTGGTGACCTCGGCCCCCTCTCGCCCGCACCCAGTCAGCGACGGCACCAGCCTGGGACAAGAGGCGGGGAGCAGGCCCCTCCATGCCCGCCTGCACCCGCAAACAAGAATCGACTACCTGAGGGGAAAGTCCAACCACAGCGTCAGGACCTTTTCCCGCTCAAATTCAAGCCCCTCGTTCCTAGGCTGATCCCCTCCTGCAGCCAGGCCCAAGCGCCCACGCCCTTCCCCACTTCCGCTTCCTCACTTCCGGCCCCTCACTTCCGGCCTCTCCAAGGTCGGGTGTCCACTGCTCCCAGGGCATCAAGCAAGAGGGACGTGAGGCGTTAGGCTTAAAATGAGCCAGCTTTGGGACAGGGGAAGGGGGGCCGTGGGGGCAGCGGATATCAAATGTAATGAAATCACATGTCTTCATTTAACAATCCTTGGAGCTGTGGTGCTGCTCTCAAGATCTTTTCAAAGAAAAATTTTACAATTTGTGTTACTAATGTATTTTA